AAGTTCATGGGCATAAATATTTGAATACATGTGTGTGTAATTTTATACTTGAGTGCGAATTCGAATGCAAAATAAAAACTTGAAAACTGTATGTGTGGCGCTGGAAGGAAGTGAGCGGCACTTCAATCACTTTGCATGCCAGTTAAATACTTGCCAAAAGTTGAAAACTTTAAAATCTTTTTTTTTACTTTCTTTGGCGAAAACACTTAAAAAGCTTTCATTTTACTTTGTTGGGAAGTTTGCTTTGAGATTCCACGTCTTGTGGAAGTCAAGCATGTGAACCATAAGCGATAAATGGATTCTTCAGTAAGATTAAGAAAAGGCCAAAGCTTCTATTTAAGTGGATTTAAGTTCTCTTTTTTCAATGGAAACAGCGGTTGGTGGGTGAATTTGCGAATGGCTACAGTCAAACAAAAATGTACGCTAAATCCAAACAAAAGGTAAAGTCAAGAGGCTGCCGAAAATAGGCAATCACCACCATTTTCGTACTAACAGCCATATTTAAGAAAAATGTAAAGTGAAGTAACCAGTGGCTTTGGTGTGCCGACACTCACCAGCATTCTTATCATTACAATGCTTGCGGTCAGACATTTCAGTGGAAGTGTTTTAAAAATAGGATGTATGCTAGCGATGTGATAATGACGACGTACATACATACATACACGACTATATAAAACATAAATACATATTCATAAACTCCGATGAAGCAATGGATCTCTTTCCGTCCAACGAAGGAATTAATTTCAAAGTTCTTGTAACATGACTTAAATTCAAGCATCCACTGATTTGATGATAGTATGATCTAACAAGTAATAATAATATAGACTTCTCACATATTAACCAATGCATACGTCAGTAGATGTAAAGAGAAGGTCAAAAATCTTAAAATTAGGTATGGGAGGATGGACATAGTTATTATTCTATTTCACACTGTACAAGGAAGGAAAGATATGTTTTCGCTAAGTTGGTTTGGTACAGCTTTAGGAGTTGATGATATACTATAAACTTCCTATACGTATCTTTTGGTATTATGGGGAGATAGGTCAAAATACATTATAAAGTGCTATGACTTAGCTCTAACTTAAGACATACATTTTTAATACAAGGAATCGCAGCGGCAATGGTTTACGTCCACCTCCCGTATATAATACATTTAAATTCCATATGATGTTTCCACATTACAGTATATTAATCAAGCACTAAAGACGTTATCGGAATAAGACTTTTCAAAAACGGTGCCTTTAAGGGAGCCATTTACGTCTTAAAATTATCGAAATCGGACTATAACTTTTCTAGTTCACAGATTCCGACTTTTCCACTGACTTTAAATGTTTTATGTTGCTAGAATATATGTATGTGTTATTATGTTTGAAATTAAGTGGACATATTTTATTAAAGGCAATGTGGCTTACCCCTAAATATGTAAGTGAGTCTACGACCTATAATACTCCCCAAAAGTGGCGTTCTCGCTCTATGAAACCGTAGTTAAGCAAATGGGGCCATTGAGGACTGGTGGACGGCGCTCGGAAAAACCGTACTAGCTAAGCAGCTGAAGCGAGTTTAAACACAAAGGACGAATATCAGTCGAAGTGAGATTCATACCATATTAATATGCCTCAAGGACCAATACATTCGGGACCCGCTTATCCCTGTTCGCAGTAAGTCAACCTGAACTATAGCCTGTAGAGCTGTTCCGGCCTTTTCTTGCAATAAGTCGAGGGACCGATTTAATGACTCATCTTGTTCTTTCGACTGCTAGCTCAGTAACTCGAGTGCCGCAGTCAAACTGTAAAAAGAGGTTTTTGCACCCGGTAGGTATAAGTCTCTACACTACGGTAAGGTGCATGCCTTGAGAACGTAACTTGACTTAAAGCAAAAATATTTTTAATCAATAAGAATCGCAGCAACTCTTAGCTCTTTGCTAAAATACGGACTTCACTGGATTCATCCAAACGATCGATCGTGATTGATCTTTCTTCGCCGCTAAACTTCCACTACAAAATTTAAATTTTTTTGAGATGTCTATATATTACAAAGCTGCACAGTGTTGCCAAAAGCAAGTGTTGCTTTATGACCAACATTTATGCTTAGTTACTATGTGGCACATATAGTAACTATGTGGTACAGTAAGTAACTGCAACAAACTTTTACGACCTTCGGCCCTTAGCAGACGAAATAGTTCATAGTTGGTAAACATTTTCCTGAATGTTCAACTAAAAGTTCATATCCTTGCAAGGACGTGCATAAATAGTAGCCACAACATTATGCCCACGAGCAATGCACTCCATAAAACTATGGCCATAATCTGCAGTCAACCGAAATTGCAACAAACGGGATATTAAAATCGACCGCAGGACGCACATTGTGCATTGGCTGCCACAAACCGAAGCACAAAAAACCAGACACACTCCCGAGCGGTGCGTGAATAAAACTACATACTCGTTCTATTATTTCTTCCTTCGCAATTTTAACTCACTTGCTGTGATGGTTTTGGTCTGACTGATATGTATGTGACTAATATGGATGTAAGTATTGTACTGTACATAAATGTGTGTTGGTGGGTTTTGAATGCTACAATACCTACCAGAGCATCCTCGCTTTTCATACATTCTTTGAGTTTTATGTTGAGCGGCACAAATTAGTGGATATAAATTGTACAGTTAGTTCAAAAAACAACGTTTTCGTTGTTCAAAATGTAGGTAGCGTTTATCGGAAAAAATGTTGTAATTATAGAAAATAAATTGTTCTGTTATAGCTGACGTCTATTCAATACTTCCGCGTTTTATATTATAGTTTGACTAATCATGGTTGATCTCCTCCTGCGCCAAATGCTACCTTTTCAATGTGTGTTTTTAAAAGGTTTTATTACTGTGCTGCTGCGCTTTATGCCAGTTCTCTAAACTGAGCAGTGGTTTGTTCTCAAAAAGGATAACAATAACTTTGTCCTCACTTTCAGATGTCACCTGATTCCTCTCTCTTCCTGGCTTGCCATATACATTTCCAGTTTCTCCACCTCTTCCAAATGTACAGCTCGCATTTGAATAATTTTCAGTTTTTATACCCTGAACAGGGTGTATTAAGTTTGCCACGAAGTTACTAACACCTAGAAGAAAACGTCAGAGACCCTATAAAAATATATATTTAAAATAGCAGCATGACAAGCTGCGTCGATTTAGCCATGTCCTTTTGCCTGCCTGCCTATATATACGCGAAATCTAATCCTTCAGTTTTTGAGATATCGATCTGATATTTTGCACACCTTTTCTTTTCAAGAAGCTGCGCATTTGTCGGAACCAGCGATATGGGACGATATATAACATATAGCTGCCATACAAACCGTTCAGAATAAAGTGCTCGTGTGGAAAGTTTTTTCATTTGACGAGATATCTTGATAAAATTTGGCATTATTGTCTAAGGCAATGGTGCAATCTCCGAAGAAATGTTTAGATCGAATTCACAAAACGACGTGACACAGTAATAAGATCGAAAAAGATTGACCGAATTGTACGCTACAGTAATCGTAATTGAACATGTGTTAATTTTCAAAAACCGCGCAAAGTAAAGAAGTTATTTTAAGAACGCCCAATACTTATTTTGACCCACTGAATGCATCAAAAGCGGCAAGAACACATGTGCTCCATGCTCCTGAGGGTAAACGTTTATGTGTGTTGCGTTGCATCACTGTTTGCTCCAACTTATTGCTCTCTTTGGGCAAAGGCTGGCGGTTGTCGTTCGTATATTAATGGTCGCAGATTAAAATGTAAAATCGTAATATTTGCAGCGTTGATTATTCTTCGCATTGCTGAGCTATGCATGGTCACCACTGACTGGGTTCCAGTGCCCGAATAATGCTGTCCCTGGACAATCCGAAAACTCGTTTGCTCATGCAAAAGCACTTGATGCCAACTTTGTTCGCAACACAAAGCATGCATTCTAGGCTAAGAGGTCGTTTACATTTGCGCTGCGGATGCTTTCATTTAAATATTTCACACATTTTACTCATAATTGTTTTATTTCTGGAAATTTCGTACGGAACTTGTTTTACTCCCCATCAGTGCGGTGGTGGGCCATTGTGAACCCTACTAGTGGCCAAAATTATCGGTACTGTTGGCTTGGCCATGCATAATTATAAAACCTTAAAATTCGACGGCGATCGAAGTTTGTTGTGGCTCAATGAGACGCGACGTAATGGCTGTTCGCGAAGTCAGCTAGTACCCGCTTTGAGCGATTGCTTCCGCTTCCACCGAGGTAAGTGCTTTTTAGCTTAGTAGCACAGCAAAGGCGGCAACGCGTTCTAGCACGCAAACTTTTTGCGGCTTATCAAATGAGCGAAAAAGCAATCGTTGTGGCAGAACTTGGACTATCTGCGGCATGTGGGTGCGCTGCTGTTGCAGTTCGACATATTTATGTGTGTATATTCGGTTGTGTGTATGTCGGTCGCAATGGTGTAAGTATGTTAAATGATAGTTGATTTTTAACTTGAATAGCGTTTTAGTTTCGATTTCAGAGGATAACTGCAGACCTCATTTAATGCCGTACTTAAAGCTCTACACTCAAATATATATGTTCGTTATATTCGAGGCAGTGACAACCGACAGTGGCTCGGCCAAAGGCGGAACTTTTCTACTTTTACTTGTTAAACTTCCTTTCTAGGCTAGTAATATTTGAAGTTAATGGGCCGATATTGGTGTAACTATTTCTTGGGCGGAGTCTTCCTTTTAGAAAATTAATTCAGTGGGCAGCACTTGCACGTACGAGTTACACAAATTTAGAAATAGTTTAGCCTAATGTAATAGACTTAAATAATAAACCGTTTAAGTGCAACTAACTGCACATAGGCACATATAAATGCCGCGAAGCCTTAACCCTTCCATCAAATGGGTTGGAAAGGAGATAAAAGTTAGAATTTTCTATAAAAATATAATCCTTATATAAAGGTAAAGTTTGATAATTTTATTCTATTTATTATCAGTTCTGACATCTAAAGTAGAATGCATTATAAGAAAAACAAACTGAAAACTCAATGAAAACACTGGTTTTTGTATGTGTGACAAAAGCGGTGCGAAAAGGCAAAGAAATCTTTCACTTTAAAACATCGCTCATTTAATATAGTATGCATTATTAAATAAATTTAACTGTATTAAAAAATGCATTATAGTTTCATTTTTAGTATGGCCTTAACTAGTAACAAAACTTATGGTAGCATTAAGTACATACATATATCAAAAATCCCAATTATGGATTATTGTGCCCTGGTTAGCTCAAACTATTATTTTATTGTTTGTATATCTATAATATTTGCATCATTACTTGCACTTTCACCAAGCTTGCTGCATTATGTTAAAATTTCTGAAAACTCTGCGATACTCTCTTAAACGGTTTCCATATTGTCTATCTCTGTGTCGAGGAAAAGGTACTTCGTACTTCCTTTGCAAAACAACTGCGCACTGTGGATCTGAAACTATAAATAGTGATTACAACGTTAAAATTAAAAGAAATAAGAGTTCTAAGCAAGTTAATAGTACTAAATACGAAACTACGCAATTCGTAACACACGATAATCATTATGAATAGAGTAGGCCAGACGAAAGGACGACAATCTGACGTTGCTAATTTATCTGGTTTCTAAGCATATTTCTATGTTCGAGTCAAAGTTTAGTTAAATAAAACTATTATCAACTGTGCAACAGTGAAAAGTTAAAATTTCTTTGAGAGAAATGCACTGTGTGTGCATATATAAATTGAATTTAAATTTACACACTCGTATTACTGACTGTGCCACACCAATAATAAAATCCAACAATTAACGAGAATATTTCTCATCCTGATATTTGCACAAACTTTGGCAAAGTTTATGAGCCTCATTTCCGCACAAAGTAAGGGCAATATAATAAAGGCTGAGAGTATATTGTGCTCATTGACATTAGACATGGCGTTTGCAGTCATAAAATACTTGTTGAATTGCTGCCCCTACGGCGGTATTTGCTCGTTCGCCTTCTAAACTTCTTTATGTCTCAATAAAATTTGCACAACAAAAGAGCTTGGCAGATACTTATTGTCATTGCTGGCTTTTGTCGCGGTAAAACTAAGATTTCATTTTTATTGTGATTGGTGGATTGGTAATCTGGTGGCAATTTGTGGTTAAAATCAAATCAATCAAATTGAGCGTTAAATCATATTCTTTGCGTAAGTTTTGTGTAAAGTTATAGCGGCCACCGGACCGCAGAGCATCTAAACTAATTTGGTTAAATTTATAAGGTTAGGTTCGATGGCTGATTCCGGGGTCGCACTTGGACTACTATATGCAGTCTCTTATGAAGCTATTTGACTTTATAAGTCGGCAAAGCTTTTTGTGGATAATACACATTTTCCTAGGCGTTTAATTTCTATTCCTACCGAATCGGTGGGAGATCTGTTGTAATTGAAAAAAGTTTTTGGGGAATCTACAATTTTCAAGGGTTATTATACAAATTTGATAAAATGGTTATACTACCAATATATGTAAGTTTATACCGTTTGATATAGTTATAACATATATTAATCATTTTAAGCGTGATCCCATTAATTCTTTTCTACTCATTGTTATTATTTCTCTATTTTCCTTTCACAGGCGTTAGTAAAAGAAGAAACGGAGTCAAGAATGATAGTTAGAGAAAATAACAGTCTCGACTTAACTATTCTGGAGTAAGCTTGACTGAATGAAATATGTCACGTCATGAAGTTAAGGAGGGGAAGGTTGTCTATTTGATTAATGAACAGAATGAAGTTTTTTCAGAAAGTTTTCTTCGGTGAGTCATATTACGGGATATAAAGAAAATGAATGTGAAATTCTACAATAAGTGTTGAGTTTTTCATTCCATGAAATGATAAAGAGATTATGTAAGATGTGTTCAAAAAATAACGGTAACTTTCGTTTTTTTAAAAAAAGTTTTATTCATTCGTCTACATTAATGTGTCGCCTTCAAAATTGTCCCCATTCGATTTCATGCACTTATGCCAGCGCTTTTTCCAATCGTCAAAACACTTCTCGAACTTCATTTTTGGGATAGCATTTGGCTTTTTCAGCGCTTTTCATCTATCTTATAAAACGACGGCAATTTAAGGTCCTCTTTATTTCTGGTATTACTTGTGGGAAGAAGTCACACAGAGCCATGTCTGTCGAATATGGAGGCTGTTACAGTATTGTTTGAGCAATGTATAATAATAAAAAACTTCGGCAATTGAATTCTCCGTCAAATTTTACATTTAAAAATTCTCGTTATTTTCTGAATGTCATCTCATATACATACAAACATACATACATACAAAATAAATATAATAATCAAGCCAAATTTCTAGCAAATCGACGCGAGGTATCGTGCGACTGCATCGACAACTTTATTTTTCGTGTTTGAAGTTTTACGTTAAGTTTCAGGCAGCTACAGCTTTGAAAATAAAATTTTAATTTTCGATTTTTTTCATAAATCTAGGCTAGATGCTCCCTTAAGGTAATAAAAAAGGAAACAAGTGACTTCTAATATTTAATTTTTCAATTATCCGATTTTTGTTTGAGTATGTTGTCCATATAGACGATTGAATTAGTTCCTTTAATAGAATTTAGCTAGAGGGAATGGCTTATTGCAACGTGTTTTTAACTGAACAATGCTTGTGAAAAAGTACGAAATAAAGTGTTTTCTTACAATCAGCCGGCAGAAGTGAACAGACTTGTTTCTTTCTTTCTGCTTTCCGTTCTTTTAGATTTTCTCTGCAAGGCTAGTCCCACGGCTTTTCATATCTTTGTACAAACTTTAATCTCACACCAAATACATATACATTTCATGCAGTTATAATTCGCTTTATTTTGTTACAAATTTCATCATTTCAATATCAGAAAACGCATGTCGGCAGTACGGAGGTTGTTTTTCATATTTCGGGATTTGGCTACCCTAGTGTTGCAATCTGGCAATTCACAACTTTATCGTAAAGTTTGACATTTTCGATGTCATACATGCTTAGAACGTTTCGACATACGTGCGCTATTTGTGTTGTTTACAGTAACTAAAAATTTTTATCTCGGCCAAAAAATTCAATTAAATGGTAGAGATCATTTTCGCGCGACTATTTTTTACAACTTTCGACGTAGATTAACTCAACAAGAGTGCATCGATGAAGTTACTTTTTTTTTAATTTTTGGTGGTTTAGTGAATTTAATCGATTTTCGATTTCCAAAATCCGTTGTTGTTCCTGAAACGGTGCTGTGCGCAAACTGATATTGCAAGATCGTCATGTGACCTATCGTGAGAAAGAGACAACTATAGGCATTAGTGGGACTAGCATACATTCAATATTGCATGAACAATTGACCGTTAAACAAAATTGTTCGAAACACGTCTATAATATTGTGACAGGTCATGAATTGTGGATTTACGCGTATGAGCCCAAAAATAAACAGCAGTCGACTGTGTGCGTACAAAAAGCATATTTTGGAGACTCAAACAGAGGCGGAAAAATGCTTCGACAATTGTATAGAACTTAATGGAGAATATTTTGTAAAACAATAAAGCGGTTTTCGAAGATTAATATTTGTTTTTGTTTTCTAATCCCGAAATATAAAAGGCAACCTACCTATTTAATGAGAATACCAATAGAAGTGATTCAATAACGTTTTCTTCTATTGTATACTTCCATCTTCAATAAGCATCCGTTCAATTGTGCTTTTGTAAGAAAATTCCTTTATTTCCGTTTCAGTTTGTGAACGGTTTGTAATAAACCGAATGACCGCAAATTTTTTCGCCTCTGTGCTGCGGCGACTATTTTGCATACAAATGAAAAACTAGAAGAAACCGCAATGATATGAGCTTTCACATGCTTGTATACTTATGTGTGTCTGTGTGTATGTATGTACATATGTGTGTATATTGCGTATACAAACAACAAAAAGGCTCATACGCATGAAATCAAAGTGAATAAAGAAATAAGATTAAATGGTCAAGGAAGCCACGATACAAGCAATTTATTTAACTTAATTCTTTGGAAAAATTTGCTTTGGATATAGTCTTCTGTATCGCAGGAAAGATAAATAAAGATAAACGCACACAAGTGGGACATTTTCTAAATATCTGCATAAGCGAAATAATTATTCACTTTTTCTATGAAAATAAATATAACAAATAAAATATTGACCTAATGAAATTGAGAAAATATAATCTTATGCATGAGAAAAATAAGAATTCAATATTTATTTGCATAACATAAAGATGAATTGAAGCAATAAACAGCGCTTGTAACCACATGACCAGATTTGATAAGGTGCACTCACCCAACACTTCCTTGCTTCAGCTATTTTCGCACACACATGCAATGCCGAAACTTTTCTTGTGCTTTGTCGACGCTTTTGAAGCTCTGACCGCACATTCTGGTATTGCCATGCGGTTGCACATATCTGTATTAGAAGCACACACGCTTGATCTCGTCCTCTACAAATATTGGCATTGCTGAATTGAGTTTCCGGTTGCTGGGTGGCTGTTGAAGCATCTCAATTTTTTCTTACTTTCAAATTTCCATTTAATTTAAATATGGAGATATTAGTTTATATAAATATTGTGAGGTTTCCTCATCATCAACACTGACCTCTTGTCTAAATTTAAATAATTTAGCAATTTTTTATACAAATTAATTTATTTTTGAAACACTTTGATTGATTTCTTTGTAGTCCTATTTTAGTCTCGACGCAAAACAAACTGCTGATTCGATGTTATCGAGTAACAAAAAACATGAAACTTGCTAGGCTGGTACTACGTTACTCGCTAGAGCGATAGTCCGTTTATTTTACAAAAACAAAATGCAAGTAAACAACTACCGAATAACGTCTAACGAATTAACCAAGCTGGTGTGATACCCTAGTATATAAAAAAGTGAAAGAATCATATAGAATTTAAAAATATGATATATGCGAAGTAGGCGTGGCTGTGCTCCGATTTCCCCTATGTTAACAATATAACAGAAGAATAAAGTGAAGTGAAGAAGTAAGCTAAATGTGGGAGGTGACTCGCCTTTTTTCTGATATCGATATCGAACCCCTATAGCATATAGCTACAATACAAACTTGTCGATCAAAACCATGTCCTTGTATGGAAAATTTTTTATATTACTGCAACATGTTGGTATAGGGTATAATAGTTTTGTTCACCTAACGGTTTTTTGTATTATCTAAAAATAATCGAGTTAGTTATAGGGTTTTATATATATAAATGATCTGGATGATAAAACGAGTTGAAATCCGAGTGACTGTCTGTCCGGACGCCCGTCCTTTCGTCTGTGCAAGCTGTAACTTGAGTAAAAATTGAGATATATAATATTTATGAAACTTGGTACACATGTTTCTTGGTACCAGAAGACAGGAAGCAGGAGGTGTTGCGATCTATTATAATGCGATAAATTAAACATTGACGCTCTTTCTTCAGATAGGCTGCTGTTAAGCATATTCCGATACTATATAATATATATTATTTATACATACATGTATGTATGCATTTAACTGCTTGGAAACATTGAAATATTTCACATTTGATTAAATTCGTCGTTGATTTTAAATTGCTTCCCGACAGCCTTGATATGAACTTATACACACACACACAGCCGCATCAAATGCATACACGTACATAGGTGTTATTGTATGTTGCATTGGCCGATCACTGACACAATTCAATTTCATGCCACACGCATTCAAATTACTCAACTTTTTGCCAGCCTTTGTTCCCTTCATAATACTACCTAGTGAGCACTCCAAAGAGACAAAGTGACGGCAACTCGGGACCTCCAGCGATATTGTAAACTTTTTAATATAGCCCCTGTCCCTGTTATGCTTAAGAACTGTGAATGGATTGGAGCCATTTTGTTTTTGCGGATTTTAGTCAACGGCAAATAAAGTCGTGAATCATATTGTTTTAACGGTTTAAAACAAAGTGGCAATCGGTGAATGCCAATGCCTTCGCAAATGGACCCGATTACTGTACGATATTTATGCAAAAGGTAAAATAAAATAAAATTTCATTACAGCGGGAATGCATCTGAATACAATACATACAAACACTTGAATATGAATGTAACTTTGTATGAGTGAGTGTAAGAGCGAGTTGTTATTTGCGTTTAAAATATGAATTAACTTGAGAGCTTAATCACAAGCCAAACATCGTGGCAAAGTTAATATATCCTGTTCAGGGTATAAACAGGATCACTTAGAAGTCTTGGCAAAGGCTTCCAGACTGGGTAAGTTTTGCGATGTCATGACTTCATATGATATAACAGTTAAACTCTTAGCAATAAAATATTTTTGGATCTAACAACGGTCGATTAAATTACATAATTGCGCAGTTTTAGAAACGAGGCTCGGTTCTTCAATCATGGGATGATGGAAACGCAGACTGAAATCAAATAATAAAGGAAAACAGTTTACGGTCTATGTGTGTCAACGATTATACCTGTCTATGCTGGTAACGAATTACACAAGTGAGATATCCTTCTCGAAGATAAAAGTAATCTAAATTCGTCTCTGTACATGTACGCGGGAAGATCCACTCATTGACTGAGTACTGCGCGAACTAAATTTTGACGATATCGTTGCAGTGTTCGCAGCAGGAAAAAACTCGTAATACATATATGCATATACAGTTTTGTATACTGTAAGCACGTCAAAGTATTAATTAATGCACTAATGAAATGAGACATCTTCTGGTATAAACTAACCTGAGAAATTTTAAATTTAGTAAAAATTATTCTAATAATTAAAAAATCATGCTTGTCATTAAAAATTGGGAGAAAGGAACTGACACCGTATAGTTTTAAGAAAAATATCATGTCCCACAAATTACAGTTTGAAAATTGCCGAGATCATAAAACAATACCGCATACTTCTACTTTATCGCCATTTCGAATTCCATCAATCAAAACTCAATGAAAAAAACAAGGCAAAACACATTTTCAGATCGAACCAAGAACCTAGATACTGATTTATAGAATCTTTGTGCTTCCGTATATATATTTCAATAACTGAGAAAAACAACATTCAAAGGCATCTTTTCCTAATAATAATGTGGTCTTGTGGCAAAATTGGATGAAATCTGTTTGAGCCTTGCTACAAGCAATATATATAACAAGCAATGAGCAATACTTATAATTCTAATATACTAATTTCCGCTCCTCTGTTCATTATTTTAATATTTTCGGGTGAGTGCCAAATATAAATTAAATAGGCTTAGTTCTCGCCTAACAGTCATATATGTACTATGTACCTCGTAAAATAATTTCCATTTTTGGCAGAATCTGTTGTGACCTGCCCCTATCATACGTTGAAATTATAATAACATTCAAAGTCAATTTATTGACGAACAAACGTGTACATATTTTATATTGCACATTTTATGTTCTACATAACCAACTTCTTCAAAAATGAAAAAAATTTAATTACCAATAGCATAATGCCTTTGGTAATTTACATTCTGTCTCACTCACTATCGGCTTTTTACAGTCAAATGCTAGAAATAAACGCTTCCAAAGTGTTAAAAATGAATTCTTTGATATTATGCCATTAAACTGGAAAGGTTTCTCACAGCTCTTAAGGCAGAGAATGTTAATGAATAAAGCTTGTAACAGCTGTTACTGTATGTAATTGCCCTTAACAGCATTATGTTACATCCAACAGTGTTGGCTCATATTTCTACATAATGCTTATTATTTCTTACTAAATCGTCCTCCTTTAACATGCAACTAATTGGATTTACTCGAGGTATATTCCGGTGAACTCAAGATAAAAATGTGTCAGGTAAAAGATCTTCTGTGTTTAAAGATCTTCTTCACAATTTTTATTTTTTTTTTTTCAATTACTATCTAAAAGTTTTATCCAAAGCAAGGTCGGAAAACCGACCTGATAAAAAAGATAATCTATTTATATAAACCGAAAATTTACCTCAAATACACTAGTCCACAAACGAATGTTTAAAAAAATTTAAATCGTTATCTTGTTTTTAAGGATCTTTGTTCATAAGTGTGTTTTGAGTCGGAAATCTGAAAAACGAATTTCGTCTTTCTAATATATTACACTACAAATCTTTGTTGAGCACATTGAATGAGAATGGCCAATAAAAAAGTTCAGTTTCAAAGTTTGTCGACTTCCTGCCGACATTTGACCGCTGTGAGAATACAACCTTTTATATAAGTTGATAACTGAGTCCCGATGAGTACTTCTAACCTCCACACTATGGAGAGGCCAGAGGCTTCAGATAAATTGTCTCAATCATTATTGCTCAAATTCAACATAATCTATGTATTCAAATACATATACTTAGATAAATTGTAAAATTTCTTTGAAAATTCCTTAAAAGACAGTTTTCAATTGCGGCTTTAGGGTTTTGACACTCAAAGACAAATTTATTTTCTTGACATTTTCCTGCAAAATAAACCTGAACGGAATGTTTGATTATCTTTGTTTCTCCTTCCACGTTTCGCATAAGAAAAGCATTTTAATCCAAACAGTGGCACTAATGTAATGCAATTTTCTTCAAATACTTGTACATTCATACGCCATTGCATATTTCATATACACGATATAGCACATATACCAATATAATATATATTTCTATGTATATCATTATAACATATACTTTGTGTATAAAATAGTTATAACAATGCAAAATGGCGTAAAAAAGAAAGAAATGACCTGACGCAGTCACTAAGTGGCATCAACATTCAAAGATTGAAAACAGCATAATCAAAGCAAAAATTCTCAATCAGAATGCGAATGAATCAGCAGCAAATAAACCGAATATAGGTACATATGTATTGTATATAAATCGATATGCATAAATTTTCAGTCGTCTTTTCTTTTTTAGTTGCGATAATATTATATACTACATAAGTATGTATGTACATAAATATGTACCATAAGGATGTTTTTTTAGACATGTGGTTTTCTAAAAGAAATAAGACGCATATAATTTAATGTTATGTCCAAGAGTTTTGTTATATAATAGAGATAACGGTTTGGCATTATGTTTTAAAAATGATATCGGTATGTCAGCATTAACACGCCGAATATTCTCTTCCAAGGCTTCAATCGTCTCGGGTTTATCTGCGTAGACAAGCGACTTCACATAACCCTACAAAAAATAGTCCAACGACGCTAAATCGCACGATCTTGGAGGCCACTTCATAGGTCTACGATGCGAGATAATGCGCTCACCAAAAGTCTCCTTCAATAAATTGAATGTTTAGTTGGCTGTATGGCATGTAGTACCGTCTTGTTGGAAACAATGGTCGTCCACATCAACATCCTCCAGTTAAGGAGAAAAGATCACTAATCATGGCTTTATAGCATTTCCCATTTACTGGGACATTATGACCAGCTTAATTTTTGAAGAAATATGGACCAATGAGACCCTCTGCCCATAGAACACACCAAACAGTGCCGCTTTTTCTCGAATTAATCAGTTTTTCATCAAATTATCTTATCTGCAAATGTCTGAATTTAGTTTTTTCAATTTCACATATGTAATATTTCAATTACGTTCACCTGGTTAAGAATTGGATGCCAATCTATCTTAATAAACTGAAATAACACCAGAAATGACTGACTCTATCCAACTTCTGAAAAAAATTGTTGACCACTCGAGTGTTCTTCCGCATGCCGAGCCATTAATCATTATCTACTAAGTCAATGAATAAATTACTTTAATCCCTTCAAGTGAGGTATTGATAACGG